GTCCTGGGAGGCTGGCCCAGGAAGTAGGCATCTTGATGACTTCACTAGAAGCAGATGTTTGCATGCAACTGTTTTCTTCAACCCCTAGACCTTCAAGTGGGGTCTGTGTGGGCAGGTGTCTGGAGTTTTGTGGAAGGATGTTGTGGCTCCTGCACCATGAGGCATGCTCTGTGTGCAGTCCTCCCTCTTCATGGATCTCTTTCTTGGGCCAAAGGGTTTCCCAGAGGCTGACAGGGTCTGGCCAGGCAGAGCTGGGCAGGAGGGCAAAATATGGGCCTGTCGAGGGTTGGACGGAGATCTTTTTGTAAAATTATATTTTTATTAATTTCAGAGAGGAAGGGAGAGGGAGAGACAGAAACATGAATGATGAGAGAGAATCATTGATCGATTGCCTTCTGCATGCCCCACACTGGGGATCGATCCTGCAACCTTGGCATGTGGCCTGACCTGGAATCGAACCGTGATCTTCTTGTTCATAGGTTGACACTCAACCACTGAGCCACACCGGCCAGGCATGGAGGAGATTTTGAGCAGCAATTTAGTTGTGGGATCCTGGATGAACCCTATTTAGAGGTTGGGGCCAGAGGAGGTTCCCACTGAGACCCAGGGTATCTCTCTTGCCATAGATCCTACAATAGTGAGTCCAAGATTCCCTATGTGCGACTAGAGCGACTCAAGATCCATGTTTCCTCCTCGGGAGAGATGCCTGTGTTTAAGTTGAAGCCACAGGAGAATGATCAGGATGGGAGCTTCCTGTTGATCATCGAATATGGCAATGAGTCCTCCAGCATGTCCATTAAGGTACCACTTTGCTCTGCTTTGGCCTTGAACCTCCTTTCTCTTTGCTACTGGAAGAATTCTGGCCCTGGCTCTGTCCTGCTTCTCTGAATGGGGCTTCAGCTTGGCCAGACTTCATTCCTTGCAGTGGCCTGTGAGATGCACATTAGGAGTGAGCTGCCAGCAGTCACGGGGCTTGGCGGGCTTGTGGTCCTGGAATAAGTCAGTGTTCAGAGATTGTCAATCCCTCCCCTCCTTCTCTCCCTCAACCACCTACTGGTTCTGTATCTATTGGCTCAGACTCACTTCTTTTCCAAGGTCAGTCAGCACACACTGCCTGATGCCAGCCAGGCCCCAAGTCTGGGAGGAAGGAAGGTCACTGTCACATCTCTGGGGCAGCAGTCACCAGAGGTGGAGGGGGCATCTCCCGAAGAACACAGACTCGCTCCTCGAGCTCCTGGAGCCAAGAAGGGGCCACCAGCACCAATAGAGAATGAGGACTTCTGTGCTGTGTGCCTCAATGGGGGAGAGTTGCTGTGCTGCGACCGCTGCCCCAAAGTGTACCACCTTTCCTGCCACTTGCCAGCCTTGCTCAGCTTCCCAGGGTGAGTCATGCCAACCCAGGGCTATCACCTGGCTGGCGGGGGTTGTGTAGGGTGCAGGGGAGATCTTCCAAGGATGATTATTTCAGGCCTGGCCCTCAGAGCTCCCGCTGGTGGGCTCCCCCTCCTCTCTGAGCCTGCATGAATGAGTTAGTGATCCTGTAGCTGTGTTCCTTCTGCACACAGAAAAGTAGGTGGTTGAAATTCAGGTGGCTTCCTTTCCTTTTCTGTTCCCAGTTTCCCCCTGCACACAGATTGTCCCTATACTCCTGTCTCTGCCCTGTTACAACTTTTCTTTCCTTGCATTCACTAAATCCCAAGTGACTGAATTTCTCTCAAGCTTTTGGCTCGGAAGCCATTCTCTACAGTATAGGGCTAGGGACTCAGTTTTCCAATGCCCCTCTTTCCCCTTACACACGCCTGTCTTGGGGCACAGGGACAGGGGAGGGAGCTCTGGGCAATGTGTTGAAGTCTTAACGTGGCCTCACCCGTCTCTGCAGGGGAGATTGGGTGTGTACCTTGTGCCGCAGCCTGACCCAGCCCGAGATGGAGTACGACTGTGAGAATGCCCGCTATAACCAGCCTGGAAGCTGGGCTCCTCCTGGCCTGGGCATATCTGACCAGAAGGTAGGGCGTGGTCTCTGGGAAAAGGTTCCAGGCCTGCAGCAGCCTCCCTGTGCTAATAGGGGCTGAGGCCTTTCTGAGGGGATGAGGGGCTTCTCCTGGTACCTCTCTTTGGGGTTATGCCTTGCAGTTTGGCCCATTGGGAGTTATGATTTTCCTCCTGCCCACTGTTTTCTTCTGGCCTGGAAGGCTGAACTGTACCTTAGTATGGTGGCTCATACCCTGTGGAGCAGAGCCAGCCCCATTAGAGTTCTCAGGGTCACTGTCTTTAGTTCTTACTGAGGTGGGACCAGAACCAAGTCACACTGTTGCCAATTCTGATCTCTGCAGAAGTGTGAGAAGCTGGTACTGTCCTTGTGCTGCCATAGCCTCAGCCTGCCTTTCCACGAACCGGTCAGCCCTCTGGTAAGGAAGGCCTTGCTGTTGCTGCCTGCCACTGTGCTCTCTGTTCAGAGGGCCCTGGGGCGGGGGGAAGGTCACTGTGGTACCCATGTGGGCTCAGAGCACAGCCACTAGAAGTGGATGGTCTGGGAGACCAGGGCGCCATGGCCAAGACAGCCCCTCCCACCCCAATGCTGCTACAGCAGACCTGACTTGACTAGTAGAGCATTCCTCCTCTCCGCTTTCTCTTTGTCTTCCTTCCCCACACTTTTCTTCTTGCTGACTTTCTCTTTCTTATGTTCTTTCACTTCTTCTCCAACTCATTCTCCATCTCTTCTTTTTTCTTATCTTCACTTCTCTCTTCCTGCTTTGGCTTCTTCTCCGCCAGGCCCGGCATTACTACCAGATCATCAAGAGGCCCATGGACCTGTCAATCATCCGGAGGCGGCTGCAGAAGAAGGATCCAGCTCACTACACCACCCCGGAGGAGGTGGTGTCAGACGTGCGCCTCATGTTCTGGAACTGTGCTAAGTTCAATTATGTATGTCTTGCCTGTTTGACCTCTCCCCTGTTTCCCAGGACCCCAAGATTGTCATGGCTGGGTGGCGTATCCGGTTGGTCCTGGGCTGCCATGAGGACTTGGGAGTAGACCTCTGGGGGCCTGCTGTGGTAGTGATTGTTTAAAAACTCTCTCCCACATGTGGCCTCAGCATGGGCTCAGAGGGGTGGTGGTGCTGGTGCCTGGCCACCTGTGGGAACTGTCAGGGTCATTTCTGTTTTAAGAACTGATACCAAACTGGTTATTCTGAGTCCTGAGGGGAAAAACATAGATTTCCAGACATCCAGGAGACCCAGCTAGGCTTTATGGTCTCTGTATAGCTCTTAAGAGGCCTGGAAGAGATGAGCTGGTGGAAAGAGGCTAGACTAGTGGTTGGCAAACTGCGGCCCCTTGAGTGTGGCTCTTCCACAAAATACCACGTGCAGGCGCGCACGTACAGTGCGATTGAAACTTCGTGGCCACACTCAAGGGGTCAAAGAACCTCATGTGGCTCGCGAGCTGCAGTTTGCCGACCACTGGGCTAGACCATCACTGCTTTTCTTCCTCTCCCCCACCCCAGCCTGATTCTGAGGTTGCAGAGGCCGGCCGCTGCCTGGAAGTATTCTTTGAAGGCTGGTTGAAGGAGATCTACCCAGGGAAACAGTTTGCCCAGCCGAGGCAAGAAGACTCAGACTCTGAGGAGGTGTCTAGTGAGAGTGGCTGTTCCACTCCCCAGGGCTTCCCGTGGCCCCACTACATGCAGGAGGGCATCCAACCCAAGAGGCGGCGGCGACACATGGTAAATAGTTGCTGCCAGCTGGCAGGCAGATGGGTGGGTGGGTGATTGGGCAGACACGGGGCACCTGAGCAACATGAATAAGAGCAACCTAGAGTGAAGCTGGTGGTGCAGGAGAGTGGTGACAGTGAACCCTCACTTCCATTCCTTTAGTCTAAAAGGAAGGCAGGGCAATGCGGGGTTCATCAACTCCAATTATCCCCGAGGTTCAAATTTCAGAGAGGTAGATGTACTTCCTAAGGGTCACTCAGTAAATTAACGGCAGAATTGAGGTCTGCTGACTCCCCGCTCAGGGCTGGTTATTCTAAACTGTGATGCCCATAAGAAGAGAAGTGTCTGGTCTCAGAGCCTGGTTTCAACTTGGGTGGGTCTCACCTTTGGGAGAAAGGAAGGGATCTTTTCAGGACCTTGGTGTGGAGAAGGAAGGAGAGGTGTTGCTTGCAACAAAGAGAGCTCCTCTGACCTTTTGGCTGGCCCCACCTGTGCAGACCTGAAATATCAGTTCAAAACAATTTAATTCCACCAAAATGTACTGCCTGCCTACTGTGCGCCAGGGACTGACCAGCCTCCCCCAGTTGTTTGCGATACTTGGCACACAATGTTTAGTGGCTTCAGTGAGTTTTGCTGTTGCATTCCGAGGGTAGGAAAAAACACTTGGCTCTGGCGAATCCCAATCTGGACATTTATAGCCTTTTCACATTAATAAATCCCACATTTGTCCCTTCTAATTCCAAATTTATCTTTCTTTCAGGAGAATGAACGAGCAAAAAGAATGTCTTTCCGCCTGGCCAACAGCATCTCCCAGGTGTAGATCTGGCAGGAGACAGAACTCTGGCAGATGGTGCCGCATCCTGTTGACCACTCCTCCCCACCTTTCAGCTCATTCTCTTCAGATTGTGGATGTGAGACAAGTCTTGTCGAGCTGGTGTAGTGCCCTTCTTTGCCATTTGCATCTTACAGCATTTATTTGGGAGCCATAGTGCATCTACTACAGAGAAGATTTCAGTAATAAACTGCAAAGAGGGAATATTCCCTATTACCAGATGTATAGGGTAACTTGACAAGACCAAGCCTGCTCAGGCTTGGGGGGACCTACCTTCCTTGGTGAGTCCTTGCTGCTGAGGAAAGCAAACTTTCCTCACCTTTCAGTGCAGGGCTCAGGAGCAGTGTATATATCTGAACTCCTCTTGGGCTCAAAAGAGGGTAAAGAAGGGAGAGAGGTTCTGACATATGGCAGGCCTGTGATCCCTGGTCCAGCACAGCCAAAGACTGTCACTGTTTGCCTTTGCTTGGCCTGCCGGGACAGAGGCACCAGCCCTGGGCAGGGTGATGGGGGCTTCTAGAGGCCAGAGGTCTCAATTGGTGCCTATTCGGGTTCTAACGGTTTTCAGGGTATTTGTTTTCCATGCCCCCTTCCTGATGTTGATAGGTGGCTGCTGTGCACATGCTCTGGGGAGTATGGCATTCTTGATGGGGCTGGTGGCTGTGTAGGGACCACTTACATCTTCAGGTTCAGATTTCACTGAGCTTTAGAAGATGTCAACTTCAGAGCTAACTCTCTGTGCTACTCACTCTGGGCTAAGAGCTCTTCTTTGGTGTCAGAACCTGCCTTCCTAGAGATGATTGTTGGTGGCTACCCCTTCATTATCTCCATTTTGAGGTTTGGATCCCAAGTTCTGCTTGGGAATCTGTGAGGCAGCTGCTTCTGGTACAGAGTTTCCTGACCCACGACCAGCTCACTCTGTTGGGCCTCTCCTCTTGCTTAGAGATCCTAGTCCTCAACCTGTCCATGTTTACAGAGCCAAAGATCGGAAGTGAGTCCTCTGACTTGCCTGCCCTTGGGGCTGTCCATGGCCCAGAAACAGCCAAGTCTCTACTGGCAGCTCTTTCTTCTTCTTCTTTTTTTTTGGCAGTTGAAGAAGGCCAGAGTGACTGGCAGGAGCCGGACCTAAGCATTCACGGGGAAGTTCTGTCTAGGATGGAGAAGGGGAAAGCTGAGAGGCAAAAATCCAGTACCCTTCAGTGACCCTGAAACCACTTCAGGACTTGACTTCTCCTTGAAAGCAGAGAGAAGAGTTCTAGAAGCCACGAGAACAGGAACAGAGCTCCGAGCTGCATCTCAGATGGACCTTCATGGTCCATTCAGGGTGTTTGGGAGGAAGAGGCACAGGCGGATGCTGGAGGTCAGGCCACCTCGCCAGCAAAGGCTTGCTCAGGAAAGAACCTATTGCTGATGTTGTGGGGAGCTGTGGACCTGGTCCTTTAGTGGCCTAGAGACACAGCTCTCCTCGGTCCTGTCCTGGTTTGGCTAATTTCAGAGGGTCTTAGGTCATAGTTTTATTTTTACTAAGAGATGCAGTTTAAGGAAGTTCTTGTTTGTAGGGTCTTTGTTGACAGGAACATTTTGATCAGAGAAAAGATTTCTTCTCTCCTTGTGAGTTGGCACTGCTCATTTCCTTCCCCAGGCTGGAGGGTCATCTTCACCTCACAGCAAACCATGCCCATTAACTTGCCATCCTTTCACCAGCACTTGCCAAGCTCTCCTAAGCAGGTGGGCTTCCACTTCCTGTTTTCTAGTTTGGGGTAACTAAGTCTTGAATACTCCAGTAGCCAGGCAGTCTTTGGACTTAGCCCTCTGCTCTTTGAGGCTCACATAATTTTCTGGTTTGGGCTTTGGGCACTTCCCTTTCAATTTTTGAATCTTTTCCTCTGTTTGGTTGGCTTGGCAAGGTTCCCTCTGTAATTACCTCACTAACTTCTGTTCTTGGCAGTTTTTCCTGTGTGTGGCCCACATTCCCACCTCCCCTAAGAGAGCTTCATGGTGCTTTGTGTTGGGCAGCCAGGTGAAGGCTGTGACTGGCTCAAACTTGATTTAAGATCCTTCCCAGGACCAGTTGGAGACCACAAATATGACGCAGAAATGCCTGGTCAGATGCTTTGCTTTTTGTCTATCAATGAAGCTTCCAGCTTGGGTATAGCATGATGGGCCCAGGGATCAGCCTGCTGGGCCAGGGGACCTCAGTATTGTAGTAGAGAGTCACACATTCCCTTCTTATTACAGATACTCTGCATGCTGAGATGCTCCCTTTAGGCACCTGACCTGGGAAGGGCAAAAGGTAGGGTGCTCTTCCCTCCACAGTTCAAGGCCCTGGCCCACCATCTCATCCCTGCACTGCTTACCTGAAAGCACTGTCCTCTCTCTGGCTTTTCCTGTGTGCTTATTACCAATGTTGTGAGTCATGGTTATGTTTTGTTTTTGCATGCAGAAAACAGATCATGACTTTTTAGAAAAACAGTTTTTTAAAAAGCTACTAGCTGAGTGATTGACTTCAGTGGCTCTGCAAACATTTGAGCAAATTCTGCTTTTGACTTGGTTCTACAGTGGCCCCATTTTGAAGTCAGTCACGTGCATTGGCTCTTGACAAAGTCAGGAATTGAAGGTACAGTGAGTTCTGGATTCTTATGGTACAGAATGCCATCCTATAGAAGAACCTGGGCTTCTTGGGTGTGCTGAGGAACAGGTGAGCGGAGTGGCTTCGGTTGATGTGAAGGGGATTTTAGTGCAAACTGGTGCAGGATGAACCTTCAGAGCACTATTCCAGAGCATGGGTAGGTTGGTCCTGCCTGACTTCTAGCAGTTGCCAACTACACCCTCTGCAGGTACCCCGAGTGGCAGCCACCAGACCCTCTGCAGCCTTTGCTGTGTGTAGGCCCTGCCATGAACCTCGGCGCACTCCAGCTCCCTGTACCCGTTTCTGGCAACGGGCCCTTGCCTTGCTCCTAAAACCAAGGCCCCTTCTTGTTTGTTCCTGGGCTCTGCTCTATTTGCTCTCTCGGTTCATGGTATCACGTAGAGCAGTGATGGCGAACCTGTGACACGCAAACTCATTTTTTTGGTTGATTTTTCTTTGTTAAATGGCATTTAAATATATAAAATAAATATCAAAAATATAAGTCTTTGTTTTACTATGGTTGCAAAGATCAAAAAATCTCTATATGAGACATGGCACCAGAGTTAAGTTAGGGTTTTTCAGAATGCTGACACGCCGAGCTCAAAAGGTTCGCCATCACTGACCTATAGTCTTCTTTTCTGAACTGAACTGAGACATTACTCCTTTCGGATCACCACAGCTGTGCTTCCTCTCCTCCCACTCCCTCACTGCTGTTTATTTAAATTGCCTGCTTCTCTAGTCATTTCCATGACCTCAGTTGTGCTCCCAGCTTTTCAGCCTTCTCCTGGACTTCTTCCTCTTCCCAGCTTGAACCTGTGGCCCATCATTGATATTTTTATCAGCATCCTGAAGTTTCTCATTCCCTCCTGTTGCTGAAACTTCCCCATCTGATGCATCAACCTGTTTTTTGCTCCTTCTCCCTGGGCTGCTAAACTTGGGAGATACATAGTTGACAGCCTCAGTTGGTCTCTCAGTATTGATTGGTATATTATTATACCAATATACCAATTAATACTGAGATTTGACATTATTATTCTGCTTTCAGTCCATGACATTCATCTTTGCTCTCAGCCAATGACTGACCTCTTTGCCCATTTCACAGGAGAGCGGCCCGAAAGCAAAAATGTCCTTGCCCCCTCATTTTTCTCCCCCTCCCCTCTCTCGGTGTCTCTATCCCTCCTCTTGCTCCTGTCTGGTGCTCTAGTTCTTGAATCCTGTTCTCTGTCCTCCACAACTTTGCTCTATCTCTTGTCCCACTGCTCCTCTTTCCAGCATCTTCAACCTCCCTTTCCATGGTTACCTCCACGTAGCCTCCCCAAGATTAAAAACAATTTTTTAAGAGTGTGTTGCTCCTTACACTTTTATCTTGTCAGCCTCATTCTTTTAAAAATAATCTTTTCCACTGATTTTTCTCAGTCACTCTTCCTTCTCTATAGTTTTTCATAAAAGTCACCAGTGACCACCCAAGTTGCCAAATTAAAAAAAATACTTTCAGTCCTCAACTGTTGAACTCTGTACAGCATTTCACACCACTCACCACTTCCTCATTGAACATCCTCTTCACTTGGCTTTTACGATACCACAAGTCTCTGGATTCTTCTCTTATCTCTCAGCCACACAGGCCGAGCCTCCCTTGAAACCTTGACAGGGGGACACATGTGTAACTTACTTTGGTCTCTTCTCTTCAGGAGTTGGGTAGGCAGGAGGAAGCCCAGCCCCACTGCTCCTGCTTCCCAGCTGCTCTGCTCCCCTCCCTCTGTGTCAGCCTCTTGTCTTTGGCCTGTTTCTCCCCCTGGACCCAGTTCTCCTCATGTCAAGCATGTTTATGAGCTCTGCCGGGAGGATAGCATTTGTGAGTCCTCCCATCTGTCTCTTCCTGCACAGCACAGAGACAGATTTTAGCCGTGTTTGCTAAGAAGTCCATCTAAATCAGCTCAGGAGTGTGGCTTGGGCCTTAACCAAGAAGCAGTTTGGTAAATGGGATCATCAGGCTATCAGACAGCTCATCACCATGATCCCTGTACCAATTAGAGCTTGCCACAGTTGGTGAGGAGCTTGGGATCATGGTAAACACGTTTCCATGCATGGTTCAGTGCTGCTAGCCAGGAGGAGAATCCTGGCAGTGGGTGTCTGCCACTGAGAACATTCTGATGGGAGGAAAACTGAGAAGTGCTGTGATTTATCACTTGCCTGGGGCTCAGTTGGGGTCAGCCTGGCCTTCTCTAACCAGGTTTTTCCCATCTGGACTGATCATAACCACCTGCTTGCTCCAGTTGCTAGAGTTGGAAGCAAATTCGGGTGGTTTACGTGGAAGTAGGGAGGTATATACAGAGGTCTGATTTGAGCTGGTGAACTGCTAAGTTTTGTCTGTCAGTTATGAGCTGCATGACCTTGGGTACAGTTTCCTCATCTATAAAGCTGCTCTGCTCCCCTCCCTCTGTGTCGGGCGAGTATTAAAAACAGCGATTTCTCAGAGGTTCACCAACTCTAAAGATGGTAATGGTGATTCTAACTCTAAAGTTCAGGCCACACAGGGAACAAAGGAACACTGGGAGTAGGACACAGGTGGGGATTCTTGGCCAAGGCAGCGCAAAGGAACTTACAGGCCAAACTGAGCTGCTTTGAGGAAAGTCTTCAGTAGCCGGTGCTGCTTCTGGAGCTACATGCCCCTTCCTCAAGCTGCACCCCTTTCTTGGAAATCTAGGGTGAGTTCCTCCTGGGCCTTGTCTTGGAAGTGGCCATTGGAATCCAAAGTTTTGGTTGGGGGCATGAGGGAGGGGAAGTGTTACTGATCTTAAAAAAGACCTATACATTCAAGAACAAATTAAAAAATAGCACTTTTCTTTACTAATAATTGTGTCCTGGAGTGTTTTTTTCAGTGAAGGTGGTAGAACATACTTCATGGTCTTCTTGCCCGTAGACTCCAACATCATTATGAACACAAGGTAGGGAAGAATAAACTGGGGAGCCATCTTTCCAGGAAAGAGCTGAGTTCTCTGCTTCTTTTGTTTAGATAGTTCACAGAATTGTTGGGAAGGCCAGAAATACAGCCTATTCTTCAAAATACAGGCAGCAAATCTGGGGTGGGGTTACAAAAAAACCTTATGAATGTCCCCACTTCTAGGTGCTAAACATTTCATGAATGTGCTTTATCTAGTGATATTCCCCAGTTGCCTAGCCTTCTCTCTCCTCTCTGCCCATTCTGTACCAGTGGTTTCTAGCCCTTTAGAGTAAGGGCATTGTAATGAATATTTTTCATTCATTTCATCCTATCGAGGGGATTCCCCACCTCAGGAGTCTTGAGAGGCAGAGCTCACTTCTCACTACAGAAACTAGATATATTAAAGTCTTGATTTCCCAGCATGCCTTGCAGCCAGGCTACAGATCTAGTGGTAGTATTTTTTTTTTTTATTAAAGTGGCACCACAGAGACTTTTGTGGTGATCTTAAAAAAACCTATACATTCAAGAACAAATTTAAAAAAATAGCACTTTTCTTTACTAATAATTGTGTCCTGGAGTGTTTGTGGCAGAGTTGGTGTCATCAAGGTGGTGTTTCCACGGCAGCAGTAGCAGCAGAACACGTTGTAACACCTGGTGCTTGATGGCATGATAGTTTCTTTAGCAGATCAATGAGCTCTTAATTTTCTGGCCTTCCCAACAATTCTGTGAACCACCTAAAAAGTATTTTCATAAACTCATTTTCTGCTTAAATTAGCCAGGATTGGTTTGTTTTACTTGCAGTTGAGCACCCTACTTGATGTAGGAATCTCAGACACTCAAAGTCATGGACCCATTCTCTGGGTTCCAGACCCACTTGTCCTGTGGTCTGTTGGACACCTTCGTTTGGGTGTCTCAATGTCACCTGAGACACTAACCATCCTCCAGGGCCCTTAATGTATTCTTACTCGCATATTCCCTATCTCAGAAACCAGGGATGTGGGAAGATGTTATGCAAAGAGCCGAGGTTCGAGAAAACCCAGGGTATTGCTTGCTGATTCCAAAGAAGTCACCCAGAAGACTGGTTGTAAAAAACACGGGTTTCTTAGGCTTACGTGCACACCAGTGGTGGCTAGGGGGTGAAGTTCACTGCCACACAGGGGGTGGCCAGCCAGTAAAGTTTCCACAACCTAAGCTTTCCCAGTACGGGGTTATGTAGAGCGCAGAAAACAAAGCAAACAGGACATGCAGGATGATGGTGTGAAATCAAAACACAACCTGTTTTTCTGCAGTTGCTTACAATCCCAGTTCACATTCATTCAGAAGCCAGGCTCCCAGTGTCTCACAGTCCACTTACAGGTGGCTCTCACCATATTCCCAGTGTGGCAAGGGGGTTGGAGCTTCAGAAGCAGCCCATGTTCCCATATACCATACAGAAGGAAATGGGGGATGTGGTGTCAGAGAAGCCAGAGAAGTCTGTGTTTTAAGGAAGGATGATCGGTACTCTCAGTGCTTAAGATGAGACGTAGAAATCATCGCTGACCCTCCACCCCTTCCCAGCCTGGCCCAAGTACCTGAAACCGTTCCCGTGCCTGCTCTGAGCTTTCTGCTATATTTTGTCCTTACTCGTTTTGTTAGCACCATCCTTCTCTAGGTTCCGGGGGCATAGAGCCTCTTTACACCTCGCCCCTCCTGTTGCAGGGCAAGCTGCCAGAGTCAGCCCACTCCCTAGACCAGTGATGGCGAACCTTTTGAGCTCCTCGTGTCAGCATTTTGACAAACACTAAGTTAACTCTGGTGCTGTGTCACATGTAGAAATTTTTTGATATTTGCAACCATAGTAAAACAAAGACTTACATTTTTGATATTTATTTTATATATTTAAATGCCCTTTAACAAAGAGAAATCAACCAAAAAAATGAGTTTATAGGTTCGCCATCACTGCCCTAGAGCAAGCTCTGCCCTGGCAAGCAGCCTCAAGCAGACCTCTTCCTGCACATGTGGCCTCTGAACTGTTCATCCACCAGGCAGTATAGGCAGAATATACAGGGTTGATAAAATAAGTTCTTAAATTTTTTAAAATGTCAATACCTAAATAAATATCTATAAACTGTACCATCTGTTAAACCCATTAATTGTTAATTTTATGACAATTTCAGAAAAAAATTACTACACATGAAAATAATTAGTAGGTTAGAGTTTTCAGGGGGCATATAAAAATGAGACCTAAAAAATTAAAAATTGTAAAACCTCGCCCTGGCCAGTGTGGCTCAGTTGGTTGGGCATCATCCTGTGCACCGAAAGGTTGCCATTTTCTCTTCCCGGTCAGGGCACATGCCTGGGTTCTGGGCTCACTCCCTGGTGGGAGGCATGCAGGAGGCAGCTGATTGATATTTCACTTTCACGTGGATCTTTTTCTTTCTCTTTCTTTCTTCCTTTCTTTCTTTCTTTCTTTCTTTCTTTCTTTCTTTCTTTCTTTCTTTCTTTCTTTCTTTCTTTCTTTCTTTCTTTCTTTCT